CACACTAGAGCTTGAGTTGTGGGATTGTTACATCAGTCACACACTAGAGCTTGAGTTGTGGGATTGTTACATCTGTCACACACTAGAGCTTGAGTTGCGGGATTGTTACATCTGTCACACACTAGAGCTTGAGTTGTGGGATTGTTACATCAGTCACACACTAGAGCTTGAGTTGCGGGATTGTTACATCTGTCACACACTAGAGCTTGAGTTGTGGGATTGTTACATCAGTCACACACTAGAGTTTCAGTTGTGGGATTGTTACATCTGTCACACACTAGAGCTTGAGTTGCGGGATTGTTACATCTGTCACACTAGAGCTTGAGTTGTGGGATTGTTACATCAGTCACACACTAGAGTTTCAGTTGTGGGATTGTTACATCTATCACACACTAGAGCTTGAGTTGTGGGATTGTTACATCAGTCACACACTAGAGCTTGAGTTGTGGGATTGTTACATCTGTCACACACTAGAGCTTGAGTTGTGGGATTGTTACATCTGTCACACTAGAGCTTGAGTTGTGGGATTGTTACATCTGTCAAGCAATGACACTAACTGTAACACACTAGAGCTTGAGTTGTGGGATTGTTACATCTGTCACACACTAGAGCTTGAGTTGCGGGATTGTTACATCTGTCACACACTAGAGCTTGAGTTGTGGGATTGTTACATCAGTCACACACTAGAGCTTGAGTTGCGGGATTGTTACATCTGTCACACACTAGAGCTTGAGTTGTGGGATTGTTACATCAGTCACACACTAGAGTTTCAGTTGTGGGATTGTTACATCTGTCACACACTAGAGCTTGAGTTGCGGGATTGTTACATCTGTCACACTAGAGCTTGAGTTGTGGGATTGTTACATCAGTCACACACTAGAGTTTCAGTTGTGGGATTGTTACATCTGTCACACACTAGAGCTTGAGTTGTGGGATTGTTACATCAGTCACACACTAGAGCTTGAGTTGTGGGATTGTTACATCTGTCACACACTAGAGCTTGAGTTGTGGGATTGTTACATCGGTCACACACTAGAGCTTGAGTTGTGGGATTGTTACATCTGTCACACTAGAGTTTCAGTTGTGGGATTGTTACATCAGTCACACACTAGAGCTTGAGTTGTGGGATTGTTACATCAGTCACACACTAGAGCTTGAGTTGTGGGATTGTTACATCAGTCACACTAGAGTTTCAGTTGTGGGATTGTTACATCTGTCACACACTAGAGCTTGAGTTGTGGGATTGTTACATCTGTCACACACTAGAGCTTGAGTTGTGGGATTTTTTACATCAGTCACACTAGAGCTTGAGTTGTGGGATTGTTACATCTGTCAAGCAATGACACTAACTGTAACACACTAGAGCTTGAGTTGTGGGATTGTTACATCTGTCACACACTAGAGCTTGAGTTGCGGGATTGTTACATCTGTCACACACTAGAGCTTGAGTTGTGGGATTGTTACATCAGTCACACACTAGAGCTTGAGTTGCGGGATTGTTACATCTGTCACACACTAGAGCTTGAGTTGTGGGATTGTTACATCAGTCACACACTAGAGTTTCAGTTGTGGGATTGTTACATCTGTCACACACTAGAGCTTGAGTTGCGGGATTGTTACATCTGTCACACTAGAGCTTGAGTTGTGGGATTGTTACATCAGTCACACACTAGAGTTTCAGTTGTGGGATTGTTACATCTGTCACACACTAGAGCTTGAGTTGTGGGATTGTTACATCAGTCACACACTAGAGCTTGAGTTGTGGGATTGTTACATCTGTCACACACTAGAGCTTGAGTTGTGGGATTGTTACATCTGTCACACTACAGCTTGAGCTATAGGACTGTTACATCTGTCACACTAAAAGCAGCAATGACTACCACAAATGCCAATCACAAGGTAACATATGATTACCCTAGTAAGGTTCTGTGAAAGTGAATGACGTCAAGTTAACAAAGTCTAGTGAATGTTTAAAGTCAACAGTGCAGACCAAGATGATTTTGCCACAAACATACACAATTCAACAAATGTTACATTTCAGTAAATTTAACAAAAATATACTCCTGTACAATCAGAAAAGAGCAATAGATCAGTCTTTCTTTGGCTGTTTATAGCCGTCTGTGAAAGACCTGCTTTAATGGTAATGGCTCGTTGGCAGCTCTATGACAATGGTATATATCCTACACAAAAACCAACTCAACACCGTCAGAACACACAGACTGGCCTTTAATGTAGTTACAGAAAGCAGTAGGCAGTTATTCCTTAAGTGGTTCCAATTACAACCTTACCCCAACTGGTCCGAGTGCTCTACAATCACAACTCACATACTGGCCATCCAGTTCTAGACATTAACTGGGTCCGAACCAACAGCCTCTGATCCAAGCTCTTTCCTGTTCCTCTCCAAGCTACACCATGAACTGTGTGTGACTGCACGGCTCTAGGGGGTGTGACCAGACAGACCCTGCCACCACAATGAGTCGCCTGAATACAGTGCCCACGACAACAACATCATATTATTATTATTTTTAAACTGATAGAAGACCCTTTTTGAACCACATAAACTGATAGAAGCACCTTTTTTGAACCACATAAACTGATAGAAGCACCTTTTTTGAACCACATAAACTGATAGAAGCCCCTTTTTGAACCAGATAAACTGATAGAAGCCCCATTTTGAACCACATAAACTGATAGAAGCCCCTTTTTGAACCACATAAACTGATAGAAGCCCCTTTTTGAACCACATAAACTGATAGAAGCCCCTTTTTGAACCACATAAACTGATAGAAGCCCCTTTTTGAACCACATAAACTGATAGAAGCCCCTTTTTGAACCACATAAACTGATAGAAGCCCCTTTTTGAACCACATAAACTGATAGAAGCCCCTTTTTGAACCACATAAACTGATAGAAGCCCCTTTTTGAACCAGATATGAGTTGCCCAAAACTCACTTTTGTCCAGTTCACTGTCACTGAGTATTTTCAATGTTAACAAACTAAGTGCCACTATAAGGAGAATAATAATGGTATGTAGCATATTCACAGAATGCAAAGTAGCAGTTTGTTCAATATATACTGAGTGTAGATAAACATGATGAAACATGGCACACTCTGGTACAGCTGTACAATGATGTAACATGGCACAATATAGTACTAATGTACAATGATGTAACATGGCACACTGTGGTAAAACTGTGCACTGATGAAACACGGTACAAATGTACAATGAAGTAACATGGCACACTATGGTAAAACTGTACACTGATGAAACACGGTACAAATGTACAATGATGTAACATGGCACACTATGGTAAAACTGTACACTGATGAAACACGGTACAAATGTACAATGATGTAACATGGCACAATATGGTACAGCTGTACAATGATGAAACATGGCACACTATGGTAGAGCTATATAATGATGTAACACAGCACTCTGGTACAACTGTACAATGATGTAAGATGGCACAATATGGTACAACAGTGGCAGACAGTAGTCTGGCATGAAGCCAACAGCAACAGACAGTAGTCTGGCATAAAGCCAACAGTGGCAGACAGTAGTCTGGCATAAAGCCAACATTTGCAGACTAGTCTGGCATAAAGCCAACAGTTGCAGACTAGTCTGGCATAAAGCCAACAGTAGCAGACAGTAGTCTGGCATGAAGCCAACAGTTGCAGACAGTAGTCTGGCATAAAGCCAACAGTTGCAGACAGTAGTCTGGCATAAAGCCAACAGTTGCAGACTAGTCTGGCATAAAGCCAACAGTTGCAGACTAGTCTGGCATAAAGCCAACAGTTGCAGACTAGTCTGGCATGAAGCCAACAGTGGCAGACAGTAGTCTGGCATGAAGCCAACAGTGGCAGACAGTAGTCTGGCATGAAGCCAACAGTGGCAGACAGTAGTCTGGCATGAAGCCAACAGTGGCAGACAGTAGTCTGGCATGAAGCCAACAGTGGCAGACAGCAGTCTGGCATGAAGCCAACATTTGCAGACAGTAGTCTGGCATAAAGCCAACAGTGGCAGACAGTAGTCTGGCATAAAGCCAACAGTAGCAGACAGTAGTCTGGCATGAAGCCAACAGTGGCAGACAGTAGTCTGGCATGAAGCCAACAGTAGCAGACAGTAGTCTGGCATAAAGCCAACAGTGGCAGACAGTAGTCTGGCATAAAGCCAACAGTAGCAGACAATAGTCTGGCATAAAGCCAACAGTGGCAGACAGTAGTCTGGCATGAAGCCAACAGTGGCAGACAGTAGTCTGGCATGAAGCCAACAGTGGCAGACAGTAGTCTGGCATGAAGCCAACAGTGGCAGACAGTAGTCTGGCATGAAGCCAACAGTGGCAGACAGTAGTCTGGCATGAAGCCAACATTTGTAGACAGTAGTCTGGCATAAAGCCAACATTTGCAGACAGTAGTCTGGCATAAAGCCAACATTTGCAGACAGTAGTCTGGCATGAAGCCAACATTTGCAGACAGTAGTCTGGCATAAAGCCAACATTTGCAGACAGTAGTCTGGCATAAAGCCAACATTTGCAGACAGTAGTCTGGCATAAAGCCAACATTTGCAGACAGTAGTCTGGCATGAAGCCAACATTTGCAGACAGTAGTCTGGCATAAAGCCAACATTTGTAGACAGTAGTCTGGCATGAAGCCAACAGTGGCAGACAGTAGTCTGGCATAAAGCCAACAGTGGCAGACAGTAGTCTGGCATAAAGCCAACATTTGCAGACAGTAGTCTGGCATGGAGCCAACAGTGGCAGACAGTAGTCTGGCATGAAGCCAACAGTTGCAGACAGTAGTCTGGCATGAAGCCAACATTTGTAGACAGTAGTCTGGCATAAAGCCAACATTTGCAGACAGTAGTCTGGCATAAAGCCAACAGTGGCAGACAGTGTAGCCTGGCATGAAGCCAACAGTGGCAGACTGTAGTCTGGCATAAAGTCAACAGCAGTCTGGCATGAAGCATGATTGTTGTCTGGAGAATGATGTGACACAGGTCAAGCTATGCCAATGTTCTCCTTCATCACTTGTTTGTGAGCAATACTGGTGTCACTGTCTCTGTGTCCCCCACTACTCAGCTTGTGTGGCACCATCTGTTGATGGTTGAACTGCTGACTGCCGTGCCTGCTGGACTGTTGATGATTTGCTGGGAGACTGTAAGGAATGATGCCAGTCCAAGAGGATAATATCCCTTCAGTGTCAGCAGCACCGGGAGCTGCCTCCCACCAACAAGTGTTTTCTTCCATTGTCATTAGCCGTGGTGAAGACGGTCCTGGATCTGAGACGATCATCTTCTGTGGCAATACACTGTGATGATTGGTTGAAATGTTGATGTGTTTGTTGTTGACACTTCTGAGGTTGCCGGGGCTCGTTGGGGGCAGATGTTCAGTTGAGGGAACAGCCAGGTGAGAATCTAGCTCCAAGTGTTCGCTGTGCCAGCTGTAGGGCCGAGAAGACTGCATCAACAAAACATCTGGCATGTTTGCACCCTGGCAACAAGAGGACCAGCGTCTGGAGTCAGTGTCATGAGACAAGCGTGTCAGACGTGAGTCACTAGATCTCACTGTGGAGGTCTCGTATGATGACCTTGACCCAGATTGTGAGCGCGATGCTTCCATGAGGGAGGAATCGTTACACAGTGCGGTCATAAGAGGCAGAGAGAATGCATGGGACTGGCCCAGAATCTGCTTCAGCTCAGGGTGGAGCTTAGCTTTACAATGTGGCCCAGTAGTCTGGTCAGTGTCTGCTTGGACTTTCTTCTCATCACCAAGCTGGTCTGTATTGTGGACACTCTGTTGTCTGTAATCCAGCTCCTGGTCAGTATCTGCAGCTGCCACTGACTGAAAGAAATCACAAACAGCAAACATCTTAGCACCAAGGGCCAGCAGAGAACAAGAGGCAAGTGAGGCACTGCCAGCATGTGATAATAACTAGAGAATGTTAGGACAATACCACAAAAGAACACAGGAGAATGACTAGAGAATCCAACATTAGATCACATGAGTATTTAGACAAAACAACAGTAGATAACAGAAGATTATCTAGACAATCCAACAACAAATCAAAGAAGAATATCTAGACAATTCAACAGTAGATCACAGGAAAATATCTAGACAACAACAGCAAAGCACAAGAGAATATCTAGATCACCGAAGAATATTTAGACAATACAACAGTAGATCACAGGAAAATATCTAGACAACAACAGCAGATCACAAGAGAATATTTAGACAATAAAACAGTAGATCACAAGAAAATATCTAGGCAACAACAGCAGATCACAAGAGAATATTTAGACAATAAAACAGTAGATCACAGGAGAATTACTAGACAATAAAACAGCAGATCACAAGAGAATTACTAGACAATACAACAGCAGATCACAGGAGAATTACTAGACAATACAACAGCAGATCACAGGAAAATTACTAGACAATAAAACAGCAGATGACAGGAAAATTACTAGACAATAAAACAGCAGATCACAGGAGAATTACTAGACAATACAACAGTAGATCACAGGAGAATATCTAGACAATACAACACTAGATCACAGGAGAATTACTAGACTATACAACAGCAGATCACAGGAGAATTACTAGACTATACAACAGCAGATCACAGGAGAATTACTAGACTATACAACAGCAGATCACAGGAGAATTACTAGACAATGCAACAATGCATCGCAAGAGAATATCTAGACAATACAACAGCAGATCAAAGGAGAATATTTAGACAACACAACAGGAGCATATCTTGACAATACAGCAAATCACAAAAGAATTTCTAAACAATACAACTGTTGATCACAGAGGGATATTCAGACAATACAACAGCAAATCACAGGAGAATATCTAGACAAAACAACAGATTACAGGAGAATATTTAGAAAATACAACAGAAGATCCCAGTAGATCACTATACAACAGCAGATTAAAAGAGAATGTCTAGACAATACAATGAACAACAGAAAATAAACATCCCTCTTCAATTACCTTCTTTCCTTCCACACACACAGACAGAGAGAGACAAAGAGCAAGAAAGAGAGAGATAATGTAAAAAAAATACTAATGGAAAACAAAGAGTATCCACTGCAAGTATTTAAAAAATCAAAACACACACACACCCAAAGAGGATAGCTTCAAGTATCAACCAGCCTCACACATGCATATATATACACACACACACAGACCCAAAGAGGATAGCTTCAAGTATCAACCAGCCTCACACATGCATATATATACACACACACACAGACCCAAAGAGGATAGCTTCAAGTATCAACCAGCCTCACACATGCATATATATACACACACACACAGACCCAAAGAGGATAGCTCCAAGTATCAACCAGCCTCACACATGCATATATATACAAACACACACACAGACCCAAAGAGGATAGCTCCAAGTATCAACCAGCCTCACACATGCATACACACACACACACACAGACCCAAAGAGAATAGCTTCAAGTATCAACCAGCCTCACACATGCACACACACACACACACAGACCCAAAGAGGATAGCTTCAAGTATCAACCAGCCTCACACATGCATACACACACACAGACCCAAAGAGAAAAACATGCACAAAACAACACAAATAACGTTTTGGCCAGGCAGCCTTTATCAAACATGAACTACACAAAGGTAACAACGAGGAGAGCCTGCACAACCCAGGACATGCCATCAACAACAAGATCATGCAGGTAATGCTCCTACCTGTGACTGAGACCCAATAGGGTCTAATGGTAACTGTTCCTGAGGCACCTTGTACTGCTCCTGTATATGAGCTCCAGCACTCATTTGTTCTGCCAGCAAGTCTGCTGCCACCCAGCGAGATGACATTTTCTGCTCCAACATGTTTCCTGAACCTTGCTGAAGAGCCATCAGATAATGATCTGTGACTGCTGGTGGCATCTGCTGCACTCTACACACTGACCCTAGCGCTGGCTCAGCTTGATGCTGCAACTGTGGCTCTACAAGATGCTGATTCTCAGTTCTGAAGACAGCATCTAGTGAAGACTGCTGGCTGCTGCCACCAACTTGGGCAGCAGGATATTCCTTTCTTGCCTGCACATTTTCATCATCACATGTTACAACACGAGATTCCTGTCTAGAGCTGCTCTTTGCCTGTTGAACACCAGTGACATCTGGTGCTGGAACCTGGTGGTGATCATTGGAAACATCTTGACATGCAACTAAAGGTTTTGACAACTTGCTCATGTTCTGTGGAGAGTTTAACTCAATGTGCTGTGTCTGTTCAGTGCTAGAGGAAGGCATAGATTGCAGGTATGCTGGTGAAAGTTCTGCTCCAGGAGAATTTAGTTTATCAACAACATCCAGTAGAGGCTGAGGGCTTTTGTGGACAGTCACCACTTGTGTGGGAGAAGACACATCTGGAGTTAAACCCAGCACAGGTGGGCACATGAAGACAGGTGAATGAGAAAAGCCTGTGTCAGTTGCTGCAGCTACATCTCCTGAAGCACCACTCCACGTGTGCAGCTCTGGAGGTGACGGCAGAGACATGGGAGATAACTGATCATGGTCAATTAAAATACCAGATACAGAAACTGCACTGTCGCCTGATGTGTTTCTGTCCATTGTTTGTAAGACTGAGCCTGGGAAACATGGCACCAAGTGATCCTTACTGGCTGCAGTTCTCCCTGGCTGCAGGCTAAACTTGCCATCTGGAGTTTGTGTGGCAGGAGAAGCCAGGGGCAGGCCTGCTGTGCCCATCAAGCATCCAGAAGTGTGGGAATGACGAGCTCGCCAGCTGCCACCAGCCGTGGACAGTTCTTGAGTGGAACCACTCCAACCACCGGCCTGACAGACTTCCAGGTTGTGACTGGGACTGGCCTGCTGGCTGTAACTGGGGCTGTGGTTGAAACCTGTTAGTGAATAGGGAACACAGAAACATATACAATACTTCTTTCATCTATGTGAATGAAGAACAAATACACAAATATATTACCCTCAATGATCTATGTGAATACAATACAAACACAAATAATGCTCTATGATCTATGTGAACATACACCAATAATCCTTTAGTATCTATGTGAATACAGAACAAACAACATCTCTATGATATCATCTATGTGAATACAGAAGAAATACACAAATGTTTAACCCTTTATGATCTATGTGAATACACACATACCTCAATCAATACCTATATAAGCTACCACACACACATTTGTTTTCATATAAATTAACAGTGACAGGAAAAACAGTTTGTGTATGGCAGACACATAGCCACACACTCACACACAAAATACTAACTAGAGAAGAGCTGAAACTTGGATCGAATCTGCCTGGGTAACCTGGCAGGGCAGTCAATCATCAATTCTCGGCTGTGATCTGAAGACAAACAAAATACAAACTCAGCGAAACATACTTCCAACTATGTGTACACACAATAATAGTAGGGGAAAAGAGCTGATACAGATATAGAGATGACAGAGATACAGGCAAAGTGATGATACAGATGACAGAGATACAGGCAAAGAATTGGTAAAGATAAATAGATATCAGAGATACAGGCAAAGATTTAATACAGATAAACAGATGACAGAGATACAGGCACAGAATTGGTACAGATAAATAGATGTCAGAGATACAGGCAAAGATTTGATACAGATGACAGAGATACAGGCAAAGTGATGATACAGATAAACAGATATCAGAGATACAGGCAAAGATTTGATACAGATAAACAGATGACAGAGATACAGGCAAAGATTTGATACAGATAAACAGATGACAGAGATACAGGCAAAGTGATGATACAGATAAACAGATGACAGAGATACAGGCAAAGTGATGATACAGATAAACAGATGACAGAGATACAGGCAAAGTGATGATACAGATAAACTGATGACAGAGATACAGGCAAAGTGATGATACAGATAAACAGATGACAGAGATACAGGCAAAGTGATGATACAGATAAATAGATGACAGAGATACAGGCAAAGTGATGATACAGATGACAGAGATACAGGCAAAGTGATGATACAGATGACAGAGATACAGGCAAAGTGATGATACAGATAAACAGATGACAGAGATACAGGCAAAGTGATGATACAGATAAACAGATGACAGATACAGGCAAAGTGATGATACAGATAAACAGATGACAGAGATACAGGCAAAGTGATGATACAGATAAACAGATGACAGAGATACAGGCAAAGAGCTGATACGGATAAATTGATGGCAGAGATACAGGCAAAGAGCTGCTATGGATAAATTGATGGCACAAATAGAGATAAACAGATGAAATTATGTCAAAGATGACACATAAGTAGCCAATATGGATAAAATGATGTCACAGATAAACAGGCAACACATAAATAGCTGATATGGATAAAATTAATGTCACAGTTAAAAAGGTGACAAACAAATAGTTGACATGGATAAAATGATGTCACAGTTAAACAGGTGACACATAGATAGTTAACATGGATAAAGGCTATGTCACAGTTAAAACAGATGACACACAAACAGTTGACATGGATAAAGGTGATTTCACAGTTAAAACAGATGACACACAAAAAGTTGACATGGATAAAGATGATGTCACAGTTAAACAGGTGACACATAAATAGCTGACATAGATAAAGATGATGCCACAGTTAAAACAGATGACAGATAAAAAGTTGTCATGGATAAAGTAATGTCATAGTCAAACAATGGAATAATGTTGAATCTATGATGCTCACACGACTGCATGACGGAAGAGTTAAAACTGATGAACCATGTTTATGCCATCTCCGAGATAAAGACAGGAAATAATATGGTCAACTTCTCTAAGGAATAATCATTAGAAATATCTTTGAATGGCTGCTGTTTTAGAGGACTGAGCATGCATGAGGAAGCCCAATGTGCAAAAATGTCAACTGTGACCACACAATGCAGCAGTTATATACATATTTTGATAAATAGTTGACATGGATAAAGTGATGTCTTAGATAAACAGATGACACAGATAAATAGATAACACAAATAAACAGATGACACAAATAAATATATGACACATAAAGCGATGACACAATAAATAAGTGACACATAAAGTGATGTCATAATAAATATATGACACATAAAGTGATGTCATAATAAATATATGACACATAAATTGATGTCACAATAAATAAGTGACACATAAAGTGATGTCACAATAAATAAGTTTTACATAAGTGATGTCACAATAAATATATGACACATAAAGTGATGTCACAATAAATATATGACACATAAAGTGATGTCACAATAAATATGTGACACATACAGTGATGTCACAATAAATATATGACACATAAAGTGATGTCACACAATGAATATGTGACACATAAAGTGATGTCACAATAAATATGTGACACAGATAAAAGAAAAAAAAAGATGACACAAAGAGTGAGCAAAAACTTGCCATCTCCATCATCAAAGCTAACTGCCATACGGTCACTGACAATGCCACTAGTTGTGTTAGAGCTAGTGTCACTAACAAGTGACAGTCTTTGGTTGTTGCTGTTGACAGAAGCATTGGTGGATGTACTGGGGCTGTGATGGAACTGGTTTCTGTCTCGGGGATCACTGGAAACATACGACTCCCTGTATCTTTTCTGATCTGTAACATCAAGTGAACCCAATGATAACCACTGTTTTATCTCAACCACATCAAGTGAACCCAGTGACAATCACTGTCCTATCTCATCTACATCAAGCGAAACAATGACAATGATCGTCCAGACATTTATAATAGAACATGGGACAACTAGAGTAAGTTCATGGAGTACAATTATTATTTTAGTTAGGTATATATTTTGCACTTTTAAATGATGCATTTTTATGTACTTAATTTTGGTACCCTCCTGTTTTTGCTGATGAAGACCTTATCTTGTAGAGCTGACAGAGGAAGAAGACAGCCACGAACAGAGGTGCAATCCCGTAATGGAAGAAGACAGTCAGGGACAGAGGAGTAATCCCGTAATGGAAGAAGACAGTCAGGAACAGAGGTGCAATCCTGTAATGGAAGAAGACAGTCAGGAACAGAGGTGCAATCCCGTAATGGAAGAAGACAGTCAGGGACAGAGGTGTAATCCAACACTGGAAGAAGACAGTCAGGAACAGAGGTGCAATCCCGTAATGGAAGAAGACAGTCAGGAACAGAGGAGTAATCCAACACTGGAAGAAGACAGTCAGGAACAGAGGAGTAATCCAACACTGGAAGAAGACAGTCAGGGACAGAGGAGTAATCCAACACTGGAAGAAGACAGTCAGGGACAGAGGAGTAATCCAACACTGGAAGAAGACAGTCAGGGACAGAGGAGTAATCCAACACTGGAAGAAGACAGTCAGGAACAGAGGAGTAATCCCGTAATGGAAGAAGACAGTCAGGGACAGAGGAGTAATCCCATATTGGAAGAAGACAGTCAGGGACAGACGAGTAATCCAACACTGGAAGAAGACAGTCAGGGACAGAGGAGTAATCCAACACTGGAAGAAGACAGTCAGGAACAGAGAAGTAATCCCATAATGGAAGAAGACAGTCAGGGACAGAGAAGTAATCCAACACTGGAAGAAGACAGTCAGGGACAGAGGAGTAATCCCATAATGGAAGAAGACAGTCAGGAACAGAGAAGTAATCCCATATTGGAAGAAGACAGTCAGGGACAGAGGAGTAATCCCATAATGGAAGAAGACAGTCAGGAACAGAGGAGTAATCCAACACTGGAAGAAGACAGTCAGGAACAGAGGAGTAATCCCATAATGGAATAAGACAGTCAGGAACAGAGGAGTAATCCCATATTGGAAGAAGACAGTCAGGAACAGAGGAGTAATCCAACACTGGAAGAAGACAGTCAGGAACAGAGGAGTAATCCCATATTGGAAGAAGACAGGGACAGAGGAGTAATCCAACACTGGAAGAAGACAGTCAGGAACAGAGGAGTAATCCAACACTGGAAGAAGACAGTCAGGAACAGAGGAGTAATCCCATAATGGAAGAAGACAGTCAGGAACAGAGGAGTAATCCCATATTGGAAGAAGACAGTCAGGGACAGACGAGTAATCCCATATTGGAAGAAGACAGTCAGGGACAGAGGAGTAATCCAACACTGGAAGAAGACAGTCAGGAACAGAGAAGTAATCCCATATTGGAAGAAGACAGTCAGGGACAGAGGAGTAATCCAACACTGGAAGAAGACAGTCAGGAACAGAGAAGTAATCCCATATTGGAAGAAGACAGTCAGGGACAGAGAAGTAATCCCCTATTGGAAGAAGACAGGGACAGAGGAGTAATCCCATAATGGAAGAAGACAGTTAGGAACAGAGGAGTAATCCAACACTGGAAGAAGACAGTCAGGAATAGAGGAGTAATCCAACACTGGAAGAAGACAGTCAGGAACAGAGGAGTAATCCAACACTGGAAGAAGACAGTCAGGGACAGAGGAGTAATCCAACACTGGAAGAAGACAGTCAGGGACAGAGGAGTAATCCAACACTGGAAGAAGACAGTCAGGGACAGAGGAGTAATCCAACACTGGAAGAAGACAGTCAGGAACAGAGGAGTAATCCAACACTGGAAGAAGACAGTTAGGAACAGAGGAGTAATCCCATAATGGAAGAAGACAGTCAGGGACAGAGGAGTAATCCCATATTGGAAGAAGACAGTCAGGAACAGAGGAGTAATCCCATAATGGAAGAAGACAGTCAGGAACAGAGGAGTAATCCCAAATTGGAAGAAGACAGTCAGGGACAGAGGAGTAATCCAACACTGGAAGAAGAGAGCCAGGGACAGAGGAGTAATCCCATACTGGAAGAAGACAGCCAGGAACAGAGGAGTAATCTTATACTAGGAGAAGATAGCCTTGCCCAGCTTGTACAAGAGAAAACATCCAAGTGTCAGTTACTGACCTTCATTGTCCAAGTGCTGAATCTCCATTAACTTAGGCTGGATGGCCATCTGGAACATGTGGGTGCTTCGACAAATGTGCAGCAGATACTTGGACTTGACATCTGCATCCGTGTAATAGAGAAACCTGCGACCTCCAGCACTCTGCACTGAGCGTATCTCAAACTTCTTTTTCTGCAGGAAATGAATGGAATGTGATGAATAAATCCAGGAAGCATTTGGCTACTGAAGCAATTCATATCTGAGAGATTTGTATGAGGTTATCAAGTGGCAGTCTATGTTCCCATGAGGTTATCAAGTGGCAGTCTATGTTCCCATGAGGTTATCAAGTGAGAATCCATGTTCCCATGAGGTTATCAAGTGAGAATCCATGTTCCCATGAGGTTATCAAGTGAGAATCCATGTTTCCATGAGGTTATCAAGTGGCAGTCTATGTTCCCATGAGGTTATCAAGTGGCAGTCTTTGTTCCCATGAGGTTATCAAGTGGCAGTCTATGTTCCCATGAGGTTATCAAGTGGCAGTCTTTGTTCCCATGAGGTTATCAAGTGGCAGTCTATGTTCCCATGAGGTTATCAAGTGAGAATCCATGTTCCCATGAGGTTATCAAGTGGCAGTCTTTGTTCCCATGAGGTTATCAAGTGGCAGTCTATGTTCCCATGAGGTTATCAAGTGGCAGTCTATGTTCCCATGAGGTTATCAAGTGAGAATCCATGTTCCCATGAGGTTATCAAGGCAGTCTATGTTCCCATGAGGTTATCAAGTGGCAGTCTATGTTCCCATGAGGTTATCAAGTGGCAGTCTATGTTCCCATGAGGTTATCAAGTGGCCTTATGGTTGCCTCCAGTGTTACAAGGTATGAGCCAGTTTTCTTATAGAAGCCCCTTGTCTGGTGTGAGAGTACAGATTTGTTAGTGTGAAATGTGAGGTCTGGTGTGAGAGTAGAGAGTTGTTTGTATGGAATGTAAGGTTTGGTGTGAGCATTGTTTCTGTGGAATATGAGATCTGGTGTGAGGGTACTAAGATTGTGCGGAATGTAAGGTCTGGTGTCAGAAACCTACTTGTGTGGAATGTAAGGTCTGGTGTCAGAAACCTGCTTGTGTGGAATGTGAGATCTGGTATCAGAAACCTGCTTGTGTGGAATGTGAGATCTGGTATCAGAAACCTGCTTGTGTGGAATGTGAGGTCTGGTGTGAGGGTACTAAGTTTGTGTGGAATGTGAGATCTGGTATCAGAAACCTGCTTGTGTGGAATGTGAGATCTGGTATCAGAAACCTGCTTGTGTGGAATGTGAGATCTGGTGAGTGAGTAGAGAGCTGCTTGTGTGGAATGTGAGATCTGGTGTCAGAAACCTGTTTGTGTGGAATGTAAGGTCTGGTGTCAGAAACCTACTTGTGTGAATGTGAGATCTGGTATCAGAAACCTGCTTGTGTGGAATGTGAGGTCTGGTGTGAGGGTACTAAGTTTGTGTGGAATGTGAGATCTGGTATCAGAAACCTGCTTGTGTGGAATGTGAGATCTGGTGAGTGAGTAGAGAGCTGTTTGTGTGGAATGTGAGATCTGGTATCAGAAACCTGCTTGTGTGGAATGTGAGGTCTGGTGTGAGGGTACTAAGTTTGTGTGGAATGTGAGATCTGGGTCAGAAACCTGTTTGTGTGGAATGTGAGGTCTGGTGTCACAAACCTGCTTGTGTGGAATGTGAGATCTGGTGAGTGAGTAGAGAGTTGTTTGTGTGGAATGTGAGGTCTGGTGTCAGAAACCTGCTTGTGTGGAATGTGAGGTCTGGTGTGAGGGTACTATGTGTGGAATGTGAGATCTGGTGTCAGAAACCTGCTTGTGTGGAATGTGAGGTCTGGTGTGAGGGTACTATGTGTGGAATGTGAGGTCTGGTGTGAGGGTACTATGTGTGGAATGTGAGGTCTGGTGTCAGAAACCTGCTTGTGTGGAATGTGAGGTCTGGTGTGAGGGTACTATGTGTGGAATGTGAGATCTGGTATCAGAAACCTGCTTGTGTGGAATGTAAGGTCTGGTGAGTGAGTAGAGAGCTGTTTGTGTGGAATGTGAGGTCTGGTGTGAGGGTACTAAGTTTGTGTGGAATGTGAGGTCTGGTGTGAGGGTACTATGTGTGGAATGTGAGATCTGGTGTCAGTAACCTGCTTGTGTGGAATGTGAGATCTGGTGTGAGAGCTGTTGGGTGAATGCGAGGACTGGTGTGAAAATTTTACTGTGAGATGTTAAATGTTGAATTAGGGAATCGACATCACAGCAGTTGGGAAACTCCCATAAGCGCTCCGTCCCTATCTTCAGCAGCAAGCGAAGAGTTAAAATTCCTATGGTACCAGTAACTGTCTGACTGTTATATCCGTCTCGCCTTTCCCCTGAGTGTCGAGCGTCGGCCAGATCCCCTTGTAACTCCTCGCAGTGCTATTTTTCTCAGACTGTTAATGATCTATCTGTGCCTCAGCACTGTTTACTCGCTCCCAAAGAGCCCTCATAACATCCAAGTGGTGCAGAACCGGCCAGTCTATCTGCGTGCTCATTTCCCAACATACCGACATATCTGGAGAAAATATCCAAAGAATTCTAACTACCCGAGACCTCTGAAGGGATGCTTGCCACTTTGCATGAAGCATGCCTGTCTCCACCTTTATTAACATGCTCTGTGAGTCAGTTACAATGACGACATGTGTGTAAGCTGATTCTCAAGCCAGCCGAAGGTAGCAGTGACTGCCTCTACCTCCATTCTCGAACTAGACGTGCTACTGATTGTGGGATGGAAGAGCACAAACAACATGAAACAGTGCAAACAGATATGTACAAACAACATGAAACAGTGCAAACAAAGATGTACAAACAACATGAATCAGTGCAACAGACATGTACAAACAACATGAATCAGTGCAACAGACATGTACAAACAACATGAAGCAGTACAAACAGACATGTAAAAACAACATGAATCAGTACAAACAGACATGTACAAACAACATGAAGCAGTACAAACAGACATGTACAAACAACATGAAGCAGTACAAACAGACATGTACAAACAACATGAAGCAGTACAAACAGACATGTACAAACAAGATGAAGCAGTACAGACAGATATGTACAAACAACATGAAGCAGTACAAACAGACATGTACAAACAAGATGGAGTAGTGCAACAGACATGTACAAACAACATGAAGCAGTATAATCAGACATGTACAAACAATATGAATCAGTACAGACAGACATGTACATACAACATGAATCAGTACAGACAGACATGTACAAACAACATGAATCAGTACAGACAGACATGTACAAACAACATGAAGCAGTACAAACAACATGAATCAGTACAGGCAGACATGTACAAACAACATGAAGCAGTACAAACAGACATGTACAAACAACATGGAACAGTACAGACAGACATGTACAAACAACATGAAGCAGTACAAACAGATATGTACAAACAACATAAAGCAGTACAAACAGACATGTACAAACAACATGAAGCAGTACAAACAGACATGTACGAACAACATAAAGCAGTACAGACAGACATGTACCAACAACTTAAAACAGTACAAACAGACATGTAAAAACAACACGAATCAGAACAGACAGACATGTACAAACAACATGAAGCAGTACAAACAGACATGTACAAACAAGATGGAGTAGTGCAACAGACATGTACAAACAACATGAAGCAGTATAATCAGACATGTACAAACAATATGAATCAGTACAGACAGACATGTACATACAACATAAATCAGTACAGACAGACATGTACAAACAACATGAATCAGTACAGACAGACATGTACAAACAACATGAAGCAGTACAAACAACATGAAGCAGTACAAACAGACATGTACAAACAACATGGAACAGTACAGACAGACATGTACAAACAACATGAAGCAGTACAAACAGACAAGTACAAACAACATAAAGCAGTACAAACAGACATGTACAAACAACATGAAGCAGTACAAACAGACATGTATGAACAACATAAAGCAGTACAGACAGACATGTACCAACAACTAAAACAGTACAAACAGATATGTACAAACAACATGAATCAGTACAGACAGACATGTACAAACAACACAAATCTGTACAGACAGACATGTACATACAACATGAATCAGTCCAACAGACATGTACAAACAACACGAAGCAGTACAGACAGACATGTACAAACAACACGAAGCAGTACAGGCAGACATGTACAAACAACATGAATCAGTACAGACAGACATGTACAAACAACATGAATCAGTACAGGCAGACATGTACAAACAACATGAATCAGTACAAACAGACATGTACAAACAACATGAATCAGTGCAAACAGACATGTACAAACAACATGAATCAGTGCAAACAGACATGTACAAACAACATGAATCAGTGCAAACAGACATGTACAAACAACATGAATCAGTGCAACAGACATGTACAAACAACATGAATCTGTACAGACAGACATGTATAAACAACATGAAGCAGTACAGACATGTGCTTAAAGAACCGGAAACAATGTGAAGAGGAATCAATAAAACAGTCACAAATTCTACATACATCAAAGTAAAGTTTCCCAATGTCCTTCCATAAGAATGTGGACACATGGTTCTTGTAGCCAGCATCATCCTGACAAACAAAATACACAAAGCCATATCTCACAACATCTGACATTATGACCTCACCACACCCCATATTATGATCTCACAACATCTCATTTATCTCACATCTCATAAATCTCACAACATCTCATAAATCTCACAACATCTCATATATCTCACAACATCTCATATAACATCTAATATATCTCATAACATCTCATATATCTCACAAAATTATCTTCCAACATATCATATAACATTTCAAATAAGGACCTCACAACATGATCTCTTATCTCCCATCATAATCGCACAACATGATCTCTTATCTCCCATCATAATCGAACAACATGATCTCTTATCTCCCATCATAATCGCACAACATGATCTCTTATCTCCCATCATAATCGCACAACATGATCTCTTATCTCCCATCATAATCGCACAACATGATCTCTTATCTCCCATCATAATTGCACAACATGATCTCTTATCTCCCATCATAATTGCACAACATGATCTCTTATCTCCCATCATAATCGCACAACATGATCTCTTATCTCCCATCATAATCGCACAACATGATCTCTTATCTCCCATCATAATCGCACAACATGATCTCTTATCTCCCATCATAATTGCACAACATGATCTCTTATCTCCCATCATAATTGCACAACATGATCTCTTATCTCCCATCATAATCGCACAACATGATCTCTTATCTCCCATCATAATTGCACAACAGCTCATATATCTCATCCTTTTCTGTCTTCTCCTCTCCCTACAATCAAAGATGCTTGGCGACATGGAGTCTAATGGAAACATCATTTGCCACGTTGAATAAATACATGTACATTATCATCTAAATGTACCGTTTCCACTGACAGACCTAACAGCCCCAGCTTTCTTTAAACCGCCCGGTCCTCTCTGCCTCCCTCCGTTTCTATTTTCTGTTAAATGTCAGTGAGAAACGGTACAAATCATCATCATTTTATTCACATCATTTCACTGATTTTGCTTTTGTTTCACAAGAGATTTGTACAAATATGTTTCAACAAATAAACACTTTAAAAAAAAATATATCTCACAACAGCTCATATATCTCACAATAGCTCATATATCTCACAACAGCTCATATATCTCATAACAGCTCATATATCTCACAACAGCTCATATATCTCACAACAGCTCATATATCTCATAACAATATCTTACAACATCTCACATTATGATTGTATAACATTTCACATCATGATCTCACAACATCTGTCATCATGATCTCACAACATCTGCCATCATGATCTCACAACATCTGCCATCATGATCTCACAAAATGATCTCACAACATCTCATATTTCTCACAACATTATCCTACAACATCTCACATCATGATCAGATAACATTTCACATAATAATCTTACATCATGATTTCACAACATCTATCATGATCTCACATCAAGATCTTACAACATCTCATTTAAGGATCTCACATCATCTCATAACTGTATCTTAAAACATCTCATTATATTGCTTCAATTTCAGCTAAACTCTCTATCAGCTACCTACTCTTGTAAACACCAACTCTATCAGCTACCTACTCTTGGGGACACCCACTCTATCAGATACATATTCTTATAAATAACACCCACTCTATCAGCTACCTACTCTTGTAGACACCCCCTCTATCAGCTAAACATTCTTGTAGACACCCACTCTATCAGCTACACATTCTTGTAGACACCCACTCTATCAGCTACAGATTCTTATAAATAACACCCACTCTTTTAGCTACACATTCTTGTAGACACACCCTCTATCAGCTACACATTCTTATAAACAACACCCACTCTATCAGCTACACATTCTTATAAATAACACCCACTCTATCAGCAACATATTCTTGTAGAACCCACTCTATCAGCTACATATTCTTGTAGAACCCACTCTATCAGCTACATATTCTTGTAGAACCCACTCTATCAGCTACATATTCTTGTAGAACCCACTCTATCAGCTACACATTCTTGTAGAACCCACTCTATCAGCTACATATTCTTGCAGACACCCTCTCTATCAGCTACATATTCTTGCAGACACACCCTCTAACAGCTACATATTCTTGTAGAACCCACTCTATCAGCTACATATTCTTGTAGAACCCACTCTATCAGCTACATATTCTTGTAGAACCCACTCTATCAGCTACATATTCTTGTAGAACCCACTCTATCAGCTATATATTCTTGTAGACACCCCCTCTATCAGCTACATATTCTTGTAGAACCCACTCTATCAGCTACACATACTTGTAGAACCCACTCTATCAGCTACACATTCTTGTAGACATCTACTCTATCAGCTACACATTCTTGTAGACAGCCACTCTATCAGCTACACATTCTTGTAGACATCCACTCTATCAGCTACACATACTTGTAGAACCCACTCTGTCAGCTATACATTCTTGTAAAAAAACATCTACTTTATCAGCCACCTATACTTGTAGACACCAATTCTATCAGCTACACATTCTTGTAAATAACACCCACTCTATGGGCTACACATTCTTGTAAATAACACCCACTCTATGGGCTACACATTCTTGTAAATAACACCCACTCTATGGGCTACACATTCTTGTAAATAACACCCACTCTATGGGCTACACATTCTTGTAAATAACACCCACTATGGGCTACACATTCTTGTAAATAACACCCACTCTATGGGCTACACATTCTTGTAAATAACACCCACTCTATGGGCTACACATTCTTGTAAATAACACCCACTCTATGGGCTACACATTCTTGTAAATAACACCCACTCTATGGGCTACACATTCTTGTAAATAACACCCACTCTATGGGCTACACATTCTTGTAAATAACACCCACTCTATGGGCTACACATTCTTGTAAATAACACCCACTCTATGGGCTACACATTCTTGTAGGTGCCCACCCTTAAAACACATACAACTAAATAGATTCAGACACTGTGACTCTAGCAACCACACACAGCTGCATATATTCACAGATTGCAACTCTAGCAACCACACACAGATTCAGACACTGTGACTCTAGCAACCACACACAGCTGCACAGATTAAGACACTGTGACTCTAGCAACCACACACAGCTGCACAGATTAAGACACTGTGACTCTAGCAACCACACACAGCTGCACAGATTAAGACACTGTGACTCTAGCAATCACACACAGATTCAGACACTGTGACTCTAGCAATCACACACAGATTCAGACACTGTGACTCTAGCAATCACACACAGCTGCACAGATTAAGACACTGTGACTCTAGCAACCACACACAGCTGCACAGATTAAGACACTGTGACTCTAGCAATCACACACAGATTCAGACACTGTGACTCTAGCAATCACACACAGATTCAGACACTGTGACTCTAGCAATCACACACAGCTGCATATATTCACAGATTGCAACTCTAGCAACCACACACAGCTGCATATATTCACAGATTGCAACTCTAGCAACCACACACAGCTGCATATATTCACAGATTGCAACTCTAGCAACCACACTCAGATGCACAGATTCAGACACTGTGACTCTAGCAACCACACACAGCTGCATATATTCACAGATTGCAACTCTAGCAACCACACTCAGATGCACAGATTCAGACACTGTGACTCTAGCAACCACACACAGCTGCATATATTCACAGATTGCAACTCTAGCAACCACACTCAGATGCACAGATTCAGACACTGTGACTCTAGCAATCACACACAGCTGCATAGATTCACAGATTGCAACTCTAGCAACCACACTCAGATGCACAGATTCAGACACTGTGACTCTAGCAATCACACACAGCTGCATATATTCACAGATTGCAACTCTAGCAACCACACTCAGATGCACAGATTCAGACACTGTGACTCTAGCAATCACACACAGCTGCATATATTCACAGATTGCAACTCTAGCAACCACACTCAGATGCACAGATTCAGACACTGTGACTCTAGCAATCACACACAGCTGCATATATTCACAGATTGCAACTCTAGCAACCACACTCAGATGCACAGATTCAGACACTGTGACTAGCAATCACACACAGCTGCATATATTCACAGATTGCAACTCTAGCAACCACACTCAGATGCACAGATTCAGACACTGTGACTCTAGCAATCACACACAGCTGCATATATTCACAGATTGCAACTCTAGCAACCACACTCAGATGCACAGATTCAGACACTGTGACTCTAGCAATCACACACAGCTGCATATATTCACAGATTGCAACTTTAGCAACCACACACAGATGCACAGATTAAAACATTGTGACTCTAGCAACCACACACAGCTGTAGTTATTGAGACCTGCACTGACCTCATAAACTTCTACCCCTTTAGCACAGATGGCCAGCCATGTGTTACAGGTCCTGTCTGTCTTACGTCTGCGCACCATGTAAAAGTGAAGATTGAGTGCGCCAGGTGGCATGGAGGCATTCCTGATGTATCGAAGTTCAGCATCGTTTCTGGTCATGTTGTGCAGATCTCTGTGCAGTGTGGGCAGATTGTCAGCAAGGTAGTCTAGGCCATGTCGTTGAACAATCTGCAAATGAGAGCGTTACCCATGTTGTTGGATTTCATACATACAAAAATGGTCTGGTTGATATGCTAAAAAAAACAACACTGCAACATCTAATCTAATCATCATCATCATGTTAGTTAGTTAGTCAGTTAGTTAGTTAGTTGGTTAGTTAGTTAGTTGTTACGGTTACGGCATCACAGCAAATGAGCTTGCCCCATAACTGTTCAACCGCTAATGCTAGTGATTCCAGTCACAAACTGAGTCAGATACGCTGGATACTTCAAGTGAATGCCCTAGCCATACAAAGTGTCCCCAGTCGGCAAGACACACACGATTTGATCTAGCAAACCATAAGGTGCATGCCTCCTTAAACACACTGTGAGACCAGGAATCATCGCAGAAAATCAACTTCATTCGACGAATAGCTGGGCGATGAGTAGATTAAAACTATTCTCCACATGTCCTCCGCCAAGTTGCAGCCATGGTAAAAAAATAAATAGCAGCCATAGCACACGCCTTGTCCCAGAAACACAACGAAAAAAATGACATCACTCATTATTGCTTTTATGTACGAATCTGGAACCCAGTCAATAACCGATAATCTCAGCTTATTGTGCGGCCAAGAGCTCTAAACTTAGTAGCTCCAGCTGCAAACCGGATTTTCACAATCTTGCAACATCAAAAATGGAGAAGAAACGGCGAGAAGAATGGTCAACATAAGCTAAGTTCTCAACCGTCATCCATTCCCTATCAATGTCGGAACCGGAAGTATCATCATCATTTAGCAGGTCCTTTGCAGAACGTCGCCCTCATCACGATCTGCCTGAAAGAAACTTAGTCTATTGCCAGCTCTTCCACCTTGTGTACTTTCATTTTCAAGGAGTCACTTATATTCTGTGCTCACCGCGGTGCTGGACGGCCCCTGCGCTTTCTTCCTGGTACCATGCCTTCCGCTTTTAGTTTTTGCAATCTGCCATGGCGATAGATATGAAAAAAATATTTTAATGGCTTCCATAACAAGTTTCTTGGGATAATAATGTGGTAGTTTCCCCAAGCATCTAATTCAAACAACAGTCTGGTAGTCTAGTAGTCTTATTTTCAGCTTCATAACAAACAGGTCACCCCATCATTGCTCCGCTCCTGTGCCAACAAAAACACAGAATGTTTATCACAGTCCCTTGTGGAAAGATTGACAGAGTGCTGTCTCAGCATATCTAGCATACACTCGCACAAAAACATATGGTACAAAAAGTCCGACTTTAGAAATGCAGTTCATCATTGATGGTAGCAAAAGTCACCAACAGATCAGCAGTTGCCCACACGATTAATTTTAATCATAGACGGGCACCACCAACATTGCGACAACAGGCATCGCGCCATTTTCTGAGCATTGATGTTGAAATCAAGGGCTGATATCTTGATGGAAACAGAACAACAGATATTCAAACACAGATGCATATAGGCAACAACCTACCCAGTGCGGGAAATAGAGAGCTGGATTGAAATAGCCGTTCTGATGTCTCTCACTGACATAATTGCCAAAATCTGCTTGCAGGGCGTAGGCTGCTTGCTGAAAACATTTCTCTTCACTGTAAACATGGTTGTACTGCAGCACATTCTCTTTCAGCTGCAAATAGTACTGATGTCTGGTCACTTTCTCCCTGCAAGATGGCCACAACATTGGCAAGGTCACACAGATCACACACAATATTACTTATACAAGACAGCCACAACATTGGCAATGTCACACAGATCACACACAATATAACTTATACAAGACAGTCACAACATTGACAATGTCACACAGATCACACACAATATTACTTATACAAGACAGCCACAACATTGACAATGTCACACAGATCACACACAATATTACTTATACAAGACAGCCACAACACTGGCAATGTCACACAGATCACTCACAATATAACTTATACAAGACAGTCACAACATTGACAATGTCACACAGATCACACACAATATTACTTATACAAGACAGCCACAACACTGGCAATGTCACACAGATCACTCACAATATAACTTATACAAGACAGTCACAACATTGACAATGTCACACAGATCACACACAATATTACTTATACAAGACAGCCACAACATTGGCAATGTCACACAGATCACACACAATATTACTTATACAAGACAGCCACAACATTGGCAATGTCACACAGATCACACACAATATAACTTATACAAGACAGCCACAACATTGGCAATGTCACACAGATCACACACAATATAACTTATACAAGACAGCCACAACATTGGCAATGTCACACAGATCACACACAATATAACTTATACAAGACAGCCACAACATTGACAATGTCACACAGATCACACACAATATTACTTATACAAGACAGCCACAACATTGACAATGTCACACAGATCACACACAATATTACTTATACAAGACAGCCACAACATTGACAATGTCACACACAATATAAATTATACAAGACAGCCACAACATTGACAATGTCACACAGATCACACACAATATTACTTATACAAGACAGCCACAACATTGGCAATGTCACACAGATCACACACAATATTACTTATACAAGACAGTCACAACACTGACAATGTCACACAGATCACACACAACATTACTTATACAAGACAGCCACAACATTGGCAAGGTCACACAGATCACACACAATATAACTTATACAAGACAGCCACAACATTGGCAAGGTCACACAGATCACACACAATATAACTTATACAAGACAGTCACAACATTGACAATGTCACACAGATCACACACAATATTACTTATACAAGACAGCCACAACATTGGCAAGGTCACACAGATCACACACAATATTACTTATACAAGACAGCCACAACATTGACAATGTCACACACAATATAACTTATACAAGACAGCCACAACATTGGCAATGTCACACACAATATAACTTATACAAGACAGCCACAACATTGGCAATGTCACACACAATATAACTTATACAAGACAGCCACAACATTGGCAATGTTACACACAATATTACTTATACAATACAGCCACAACATTGGCAATGTCACACATATCACACACAATATAACTTATACAAGACAGCCACAACATTGGCAATGTCACACACAATATTACTTATACAAGACAGCCACAACATTGGCAATGTCACACAGATCACACACAATATTACTTATACAAGACAGCCACAACATTGACAATGTCACACAGATCACACACAATATAACTTATACAAGACAGCCACAACATTGACAATGTCACACAGATCACACACAATATAACTTATACAAGACAGCCACAACATTGGCAAGGTCACACAGATCACACACAATATTACTTATACAAGACAGCCACAACATTGACAAGGTCACACAGATCACACACAATATAACTTATACAAGACAGCCACAACATTGACAATGTCACACAGATCACACACAATATAACTTATACAAGACAGCCACAACATTGGCAAGGTCACACAGATTACTCACAATATTACTTATACAAGACAGCCACAACATTGACAAGGTCACACAGATCACACACAATATTACTTTTACAAGACAGCCACAACATTGACAATGTCACACAGATCACACACAATATTACTTATACAAGACAGCCACAACACTGGCAATGTCACACAGATCACTCACAATATAACTTATACAAGACAGTCACAACATTGACAATGTCACACAGATCACACACAATATTACTTATACAAGACAGCCACAACACTGGCAATGTCACACAGATCACTCACAATATAACTTATACAAGACAGTCACAACATTGACAATGTCACACAGATCACACACAATATTACTTATACAAGACAGCCACAACATTGGCAAGGTCACACAGATCACACACAATATTACTTATACAAGACAGCCACAACATTGGCAATGTCACACAGATCACACACAATATAACTTATACAAGACAGCCACAACATTGGCAATGTCACACAGATCACACACAATATAACTTATACAAGACAGCCACAACATTGGCAATGTCACACAGATCACACACAATATAACTTACACAAGACAGCCACAACATTGACAATGTCACACAGATCACACACAATATTACTTATACAAGACAGCCACAACATTGACAATGTCACACAGATCACACACAATATTACTTATACAAGACAGCCACAACATTGACAATGTCACACACAATATAAATTATACAAGACAGCCACAACATTGACAATGTCACACAGATCACACACAATATTACTTATACAAGACAGCCACAACATTGGCAATGTCACACAGATCACACACAATATTACTTATACAAGACAGTCACAACACTGACAATGTCACACAGATCACACACAACATTACTTATACAAGACAGCCACAACATTGGCAAGGTCACACAGATCACACACAATATAACTTATACAAGACAGCCACACAACATTGGCAAGGTCACACAGATCACACACAATATAACTTATACAAGACAGTCACAACATTGACAATGTCACACAGATCACACACAATATTACTTATACAAGACAGCCACAACATTGGCAAGGTCACACAGATCACACACAATATTACTTATACAAGACAGCCACAACATTGACAATGTCACACACAATATAACTTATACAAGACAGCCACAACATTGGCAATGTCACACACAATATAACTTATACAAGACAGCCACAACATTGGCAATGTCACACACAATATAACTTATACAAGACAGCCACAACATTGGCAATGTTACACACAATATTACTTATACAATACAGCCACAACATTGGCAATGTCACACATATCACACACAATATAACTTATACAAGACAGCCACAACATTGGCAATGTCACACACAATATTACTTATACAAGACAGCCACAACATTGGCAATGTCACACAGATCACACACAATATTACTTATACAAGACAGCCACAACATTGACAATGTCACACAGATCACACACAATATAACTTATACAAGACAGCCACAACATTGACAATGTCACACAGATCACACACAATATAACTTATACAAGACAGCCACAACATTGGCAAGGTCACACAGATCACACACAATATTACTTATACAAGACAGCCACAACATTGACAAGGTCACACAGATCACACACAATATAACTTATACAAGACAGCCACAACATTGACAATGTCACACAGATCACACACAATATAACTTATACAAGACAGCCACAACATTGGCAAGGTCACACAGATTACTCACAATATTACTTATACAAGACAGCCACAACATTGACAAGGTCACACAGATCACACACAATATTACTTTTACAAGACAGCCACAACATTGACAATGTCACACAAATCACACACAATATAACTTATACAAGACAGCCACAACATTGACAATGTCACACAGATCACACACAATATTACTTATACAAGACAGCCACAACATTGACAATGTCACACAGATCACACACAATATTACTTATACAAGACAGCCACAACATTGACAATGTCACACACAATATAACTTATACAAGACAGCCACAACATTGACAATGTCACACAGATCACACACAATATTACTTATACAAGACAGCCACAACATTGGCAAGGTCACACAGATCACACACAATATAACTTATACAAGACAGCCACAACATTGACAATGTCACACAGATCACACACAATATAACTTATACAAGACAGCCACAACATTGACAATGTCACACACAATATAACTTATACAAGACAGCCACAACATTGACAATGTCACACAGATCACACACAATATAACTTATACAAGACAGCCACAACACTGGCAAGGTCACACAGATCACTCACAATATTACTTATACAAGACAGCCACAACACTGGCAAGGTCACACAGATCACACACAATATAACTTATACAAGACAGTCACAACATTGACAATGTCACACAGATCACTCACAATATAACTTATACAAGACAGTCACAACATTGACAATGTCACACAGATCACACACAATATAACTTATACAAGACAGCCACAACATTGACAATGTCACACACAATATAACTTATACAAGACAGCCACAACATTGACAATGTCACACAGATCACACACAATATAACTTATACAAGACAGCCACAACACTGGCAAGGTCACACAGATCACTCACAATATTACTTTTACAAGACAGTCACAACATTGGCAAGGTCACACAGATCACACACAATATTACTTATACAAGACAGCCACAACACTGGCAAGGTCACACAGATCACACACAATATTACTTATACAAGACAGCCACAACATTGACAAGGTCACACAGATCACACACAATATTACTTATACAAGACAGCCACAACATTGACAATGTCACACAAATCACACACAATATAACTTATACAAGACAGCCACAACATTGACAATGTCACACACAATATAACTTATACAAGACAGCCACAACATTGACAATGTCACACAGATCACACACAATATTACTTATACAAGACAGCCACAACATTGACAAGGTCACACACAATATAACTTATACAAGACAGCCACAACATTGACAATGTCACACAGATCACACACAATATAACTTATACAAGACAGCCACAACACTGGCAAGGTCACACAGATCACTCACAATATTACTTTTACAAGACAGTCACAACATTGGCAAGGTCACACAGATCACACACAATATTACTTATACAAGACAGCCACAACACTGGCAAGGTCACACAGATCACACACAATATAACTTATACAAGACAGTCACAACATTGACAATGTCACACAGATCACTCACAATATAACTTATACAAGACAGTCACAACATTGACAATGTCACACAGATCACACACAATATAACTTATACAAGATAGTCACAACATTGACAATGTCACACAGATCACACACAATATAACTTATACAAGACAGCCACAACACTGGCAAGGTCACACAGATCACTTACAATATTACTTTTACAAGACAGTCACAACATTGGCAAGGTCACACAGATCACACACAATATTACTTATACAAGACAGCCACAACATTGACAATGTCACACAGATCACACACAATATAACTTATACAAGACAGCCACAACATTGGCAAGGTCACACAGATCACACACAATATTACTTATACAAGACAGCCACAATATTGGCAATGTCACACAGATCACACACAATATTACTTATACAAGACAGCCACAACATTGGCAATGTCACACAGATCACACACAATATTACTTATACAAGACAGCCACAACATTGGCAATGTCACACAGATCACACACAATATTACTTATACAAGACAGCCACGACATTGTGATGAGATTATCTTCACAAGAACTAAATGTGATGAGACTGACTTCACAAGAACTAAATGTGATGAAACTGACTTCACAAGAACTAAATGTGATGAGATTGTATTCACAAGAACTAAATGTGATGAGACTGTCTTTACAAGAACTAAATGTGATGAGATCTCCTTTACAAGAACTAAATGTGATGAGATTTGCTTTACAAGAACTAAATGTGATGAGACTGTCTTTACAAGAACTAAATGTGATGAGATTGTCTTCACAAGAACTAAATGTGATGAGACTGTCTTTACAAGAACTAAATGTGATGAGACTGTCTTTACAAGAACTAAATGTGAAGAGACTGCATTCCCACAGTGAACATATGACTCTTACCTTAACAAGATGACCTGATCAACATAGAACTGCACTCGGAAGCAGACATTCACGACAGCTTTACCTTGGCTGTCCAGTCCCTGCAAGAAGACACAAAACTTATCACTCAGTCTGTGAAACAAGCAGCTTGATAGAATAGATTGTCATGAAATAGCTTGACAGAATAGACTATAACATCAACAGAGTCTGTCTGAATAGCAGCTTGACAAAACAGATTGTAATACAATAAACTTTGTTAGAATAGACTATAACATCAACAGATTTTGCGTAACCTGCAGCTTGATAGAACAGACTGTACATCGTTTATTTCAGAACTGTCAATCTCTAATCTAACACTATTTGAAGAAAAAAAAAGTCTATGCATTCCCTGACGATAAGAAATATGCAAAGACTGGTATGACAAGATGTTGGTATGAATGTAAGCCAATATGAACTGTGGTACACTCAGATGAAACACTGTTACACAATAGTGGTTAACTTGTGCACAATCACAGATTGAGATGGAATGAATCAATGAATCAAGATGCAAAGCTAGATATATGGAAACTTCTGTCTTGTAGGCTATTACTACCCCAACTCTTCCTCGAGGCCTCTCAGTTCTGTCTACAATGGTTTGTGTCCTCACTTCCATGTCTATCACTTCCTCAAGAGGCCTCTCAGTCCTGTCTACAATTTTGTGTGTCCTCACTTCCATGTCTATCACTTCCTCAAGAGGTCTCTCAGTCTTGTCTACCATGGTTTGAATCCTCACTTCCATGTCTATCACTTCCTCAAGAGGCCTCTCAGTCCTGTCTACCATGGTTTGAATCCTCACTTCCATGTCTATCACTTCCTCAAGAGGTCTCTCAGTCCTGTCTACCATGGTTTGAATCCTCACTTCCATGTCTATCACTTCCTCAAGAGGCCTCTCAGTCCTGTCTTCCATGGTTTGAATCCTCACTTCCATGTCTATCACTTCCTTAAGAGGCCTCTCAGTCCTGTCTACCATGGTTTGAATCCTCACTTCCATGTCTATCACTTCCTTAAGAGGCCTCTCAGTCCTGTCTTCCATGGTTTGAATCCTCACTTCCATGTCTATCACTTCCTCAAGAGGCCTCTCCGAAAATCTAGCCAAATTGTTCAATTTAGTCATGTTTGTCCCTAGTAATAAAAAAAAAAATAAAAAAATACATGCATAAATATGAAAATTCAATAGCTAATTTGAATAAATGTTGAGATGTCGTGTGATTCCTAAATACTGTGTTAGTTCATTCAATTATCTACAAGAATATATGTAGTTTTGCAAATGGCAATTAAATGCCTAATTTTTGTAATAATTTATGTGTGTGTAAACTAAGCGAATCCCCTCCTGAAGGCTCAATCTTCTTGGCATGAAACTCTAAAAAGGCTCCGTCTCCAAAGGGTTAGTGAACTCACACACATTAGGGTGCTTGATCTATTCAAGCAACAGACCACCACATAGCTCCACTATATTGATGTGACATGCCTAACAACAGACCACCACATAGCTCCACTATAGTGATGTGACATGCCTAACAACAGACCACCACATAGCTCCACTATATTGATGTGACATGCTTAGCAACAGACCACCACATAGCTCCACTATATTGATGTGACATGCTTAGCAACAGACCACCACATAGCTCCACTATATTGATGTGACATGCTTAGCAACAGACCACCACATAGCTCCACTATATTGATGTGACATGCCTAACAACAGACCACCACATAGCTCCACTATATTGATGTGACATGCTTAGCAACAGACCACCACATAGCTCCACTATATTGATGTGACATGCCTAACAACAGACCACCACATAGCTCCACACTGACAATGAGTTAGCTAGAGTGATGTGACATGCCTAACAACAGACCACCACATAGCTCCACTATATTGATGTGACATTCCTAACAACAGACCACCACATAGCTCCACACTGACAATGAGTTAGCTAGAGTGCATCCCCCCCCCCCCATATCTACTCAGACACGCTTCTTTCAGACACTTCCTGGATATTGCCTAACTTCATGTCATTGTGAGATTTTGTTGAGATTTCTATTTGTTAAGATTCCTATGTGTTGGGATTTCTATTTTCTGACTGAGATTCCATATCTGCCTATATTCCTATGTGCATATATTCCTATTTGTTGATACTCCTACATGCAAAGATTTCTACTTGTTGAGATTCCTATTTGTTGATACTCCTACATGCAAAGATTTCTTCTTTTTTCCCCTGAGATTTCATATCTGCTGATTTTCTTATCTGTGAAGATTGTTGATGCAGTTGGTGTGACGAGAGGTTCTGCCAGATGCTTGAGGCTATGAGGAAAGGCAAGACAGAATGCTACTGGCACCATTAGTATCAGAACTCTTCGCTGGCTGTTGAAGAGCGCTGATGGGAATGCCCCGAGTGCTGTGATGTCGGTTCTTGAACCAAATCAAATTGTGAAGATTACTATTTATAAGATTCCTGTGTGTTGAGATTCATATTTGATAAGATTTCTATTTGTTGAGAATTATATTTGTTGAGATTTATAATTTGTTGAGATTTATATTTGTTGAGATTTATACTTTCTGACTGAGATTCCATATCTGCTAATATTCCTATCAGTCAGGATTCCTGTGTGTAGTCTCCCAACTGTCTGTTGCTACAGCCCTAGTCTTTCTCCTGCCAGAAGACTACCATTTGCCGACCACCATCAGCCTAAAGTTGATCCTGAAATATTCAAGTGCTGTCACTAGTGTACATGTAAACTGCTTCAACAAAGGTCAGACCTACCTCACCAGAGCCAGATTTCCACTGCTTGGGGGCCAGCTTGTGGATTTTGTCTTCTAGCACCACAAACTGGTATTCATGGTCTGGGAGCAAACAACAATATGTATCAATATGTGTGTGTGTGCATATGTTGTGTGTGTGTGTGTTATATATATATATATATATATATATATATATATATATATATATATATATATATATATATATATATATATATATATATATATATATATATATATATATATACATACATACATACATATATACATATATAGGGAGTCACAATGCCGTAGCGGTTACACACTCACATGCGGATCGGAAGGTCATGGGTTCGTTCCCTGGTGGAGCCTGATTTTTTTCAAAAATGACCTTGACTCCCAGGTCGACCCAGTAAAGGCGGCCGGAATAACACTTACCACATTACGAATCTTGTGCCCATTGGTCTATACAAATATAGGTCTAACCTTATATGCAAAAGGACCTTTACTTTAAAAACGCACGCACGCACACACACGTATATAAATATAAATATAAAAATATATATATATATATATATATATATATATATATATATATATATATATATATTGAAAACTAAAAAAGTATTGTGGCCATTTAGTGGGACTTTTAAAAACATATAAACCTTTATCATTTAACAGGAGGTTCGGCCCATAAACTTAACTCACTGTACAGTGAATTCTGCACCATGATCACACAACAGCTGGGTCCAAGGGGGAATGCCAAATGTGCAATAACTTTGATCGCGGTAACACAACATACACAACTTTTGTTCAGAAACATAAAAGTGTTAACTGTAGGCACAGCGCCACACTTTTGTTCTGAAACATAAAAGTGTTAACTGTAGGCACAGCGCCACACTTTTGTTCTGAAACATAAAAGTGTTAACTGTAGGCACAGCGCCACACTTTTGTTCAGAAACATAAAACTGTTAACTGTAAGCACAGCACCACACTTTTGTTCAGAAACATAAAACTGTTAACTGTAGGCACAACGCCACACTTTTGTTCAGAAACATAAAAGTGTTAACTGTAGGCACAGCGCCACACTTTTGTTCAGAAACATAAAACTGTTAACTGTAGGCACAACGCCACACTTTTGTTCAGAAACATAAAACTGTTAACTGTAGGCACAACGCCACACTTTTGTTCAGAAACATAAAACTGTTAACTGTAGGCACAGCACCACACTTTTGTTCAGAAACATAAAACTGTTAACTGTAGGCACAACGCCACACTTTTGTTCAGAAACATAAAACTGTGTGTATGTGTGTGTATGCCGGCCTGCCTTTGGTAAGTGTAAATACTGCATACTGCTGGGTGACATTCAAGAACATGCACAAGTTTTCAGGCACTCACTTTCAGCACCAGCACAAAGTGACAATGTTGTTTACCTTTGTGAAAAGCCAGCCCAAAATATTCACTTTCTCGCAGACATAGATGACTAGTCACCTGATTAAACACCTCCTGAAACTTGGCTTTTACCTGAAAGGTCACATGAAATCCATGACAATGTTTTAGAAAACTTGGCCTGTTCAGTCATGACTACAGAAACCAAACAAGAGCTCTGATATCAACAGACCATTCCTCCAAATCCTATCATTGCTTGCTGACACAATCAGAAACATGGCCAAGTGAAGGTCTGACAGCAGCTTTTTTGCCTGTCAGAGACGATCAATGGCATACATAATGTTGGATGTATTCACATTTCGTTATGACCTTTTTACTTGAAGGTGGCCCGTGCACATTCATTTGCACACACACACATCTCATCATCATCATGTCTTTGGCAGAATGTTTCAGAAGTGTGTAGAGAAGGAAAAGCCATAACCTCACAATAACAGCACATAAATAACACCATTTACAGACAGAACAACTGTGAACGTATCAAGTCACTAATTTACAGAGACAGAAATAAAAATATGATTTAGGTTTGAACAATGGATTAACATTATGGCACAATACAACCATAAGTGCTCTTTTTTACTTCACACTCAAGCCTCAGCCCAAAAATCTCAGCGCAGTGCGCGAACTCTGTAGCAACGGCGAGGATCTTGAAGTACTCTAGATTTTAAACTAAAAATGTTGCCCAGGCAGCGCTGTTAGGCTACTTTTTTTTATTTCCAACTGCCAAGGGATTTTTTTACATGTGCAACAATACACACGGGCGTCTGATCTTACAGCCAGAGACAAGAGGAAATTACTAAAAGTCCATGTGAACAAATCCCAGCGTTTAGCAGGACCTGAATCAGAACACTTCAATACTTGAGGCCGACACCATGCCTCGAGACCACACAGCTCCCAACAAATATTAACTGCATCAATTCACAACTATGCAGAGAAATAACAACCACAACAAACATAAAGTGCACCAATTCATCATGTGGCAGAGAAAGAACAAAACAACAAACATAAAGTGCACCAATTCTCCACATGACAGAGAAAGAACAACCATGAGAACTATAAAGTGCATCAATTCCTCCCCTGACAGAGCAGAAACAACCAAGCATTCACCAGCTATGACCAAACACACTTACATCAACATAAGTACTATATTCAGTGCCATCCAACAAGAGGAACATTCACCAGTTATGATCAAACACACTTACATCAACATAAGCACTATATTCAGTGCCATCCAACAAGAGGAACATTCACCAGTTATGATCAAACACACTTACATCAACATAAGCACTATATTCAGTGCCATCCAACAAGAGGAACATTCACCGGCTATGATCAAACACACTTACATCAACATAAGCACTATATTCAGTGCCGTCCAACGAGAGAACATTCACCGGCTATGATTAAACACACTTACATCAACATAGGCACTATATTCAGTGCCGTCCAACAAAAGAACATTCACCAGTTATGATCAAACACACTTACATCAACATAAGCACTATATTCAGTGCCATCCAACAAGAGAACATTCACCAGTTATGATCAAACACACTTACATCAACATAGGCACTATATTCAGTGCCGTCCAACAAGAGAACATTCACCAGTTTTCGCTTGTTGCTGCCAGTGACGGATTTGGTTGTCATTGTCAGATCTTAGCTTGGATTCAGGATGCTGATGTGTGCATCCATCACTCCAACTAACAGCCACCTGACTTCTCTGAGAAAACAAGCAACAACAATGAGTTCATTGGAATGTGCATGACCTCCCTGATACAAAACCGCTGACTTCTGGTTATCTCAGACAGTGACCACGTGAGGCTACTGACCTCTGACTTCTAGTTATCTCAGACAGTGACCACGTGAGACTACTGACCCCTGACTTCTGGTTATCTCAAACAGTGACCACATGAGGCTACTGACCTCTGACTTCTAGTTATCTCAGACAGTGACCACGTGAGGCTACTGACCTCTGACTTCTAGTTATCTCAGACAGTGACCAGGTGAGACTACCAACCCCAGACTTCTAGTTATCTCAGACAGTGACCAGGTGAGACTACCAACCCCAGACTTCTAGTTATCTCAGACAGTGACCAGGTGAGACTACCGACCCCAGACTTCTGGTTATCTCAGACAGTGACCAGGTGAGACTACTGACCCCTGACCTCTAGTTATCTCAGACAGTGACCAGGTGAGACTACTGACCCCTGACTTCTAGTTATCTCAGACAGTGACCAGGTGAGACTACTGACCTCTGACTTCTAGTTATCTCAGACAGTGACCAGGTGAGAACATTGACCCCAGACTTCTGGTTATATCAGACAGTGACCAGGTGAGAACACCGACCCCAGACTTCTAGTTATCCCAGAAATTGACCAGGTGAGAACACCGACCCCAGACTTCTGGTTATATCAGACAGTGACCAGGTGAGAACACCGACCCCAGACTTCTGGTTATATCAGACAGTGACCAGGTGAGAACACTGACCCCAGACTTCTGGTTATATCAGACAGTGACCAGGTGAGAACACCGACCCCAGACTTCTGGTTATATCAGACAGTGACCAGGTGAGAACAGTGACCCCAGACTTCTGGTTATATCAGACAGTGACCAGGTGAGAACAGTGACCCCAGACTTCTGGTTATATCAGACAGTGACCAGGTGAGACTACCGACCCCAGACTTCTGGTTATATCAGACAGTGACCAGGTGAGACTACCGACCCCAGACTTCTGGTTATATCAGACAGTGACCAGGTGAGACTACCGACCCCAGACTTCTGGTTATATCAGACAGTGACCAGGTGAGACTACCGACCCCAGACGTCTGGTTATATCAGACAGTGACCAGGTGAGACTACCGACCCCAGACTTCTGGTTATATCAGACAGTGACCAGGTGAGACTACCGACCCCAGACTTCTGGTTATATCAGACAGTGACCAGGTGAGACTACCGACCCCAGACTTCTGGTTATATCAGACAGTGACCAGGTGAGACTACCGACCCCAGACTTCTGGTTATATCAGACAGTGACCAGGTGAGACTACCGACCCCAGACGTCTGGTTATATCAGACAGTGACCAGGTGAGACTACCGACCCCAGACTTCTGGTTATATCAGACAGTGACCAGGTGAGACTACCGACCCCAGACTTCTGGTTATATCAGACAGTGACCAGGTGAGACTACCGACCCCAGACTTCTGGTTATATCAGACAGTGACCAGGTGAGACTACCGACCCCAGACTTCTGGTTATATCAGACAGTGACCAGGTGAGACTACCGACCCCAGACTTCTGGTTATATCAGACAGTGACCAGGTGAGACTACCGACCCCAGACTTCTGGTTATATCAGACAGTGACCAGGTGAGAACACCGACCCCAGACTTCTGGTTATATCAGACAGTGACCAGGTGAGACTAACGAACCCTGTTTTCTGTGAGGTAAGTTACAAATGGCTATTTTAAAAAATTTAAAATAAAAATTAAACAAGATAACTTGAAAATTGTCACAAATAATGTCCCTTTATTTTGTAACACAATGTCCACCAATTATTATGCACTTGTCCCATTGTTTTATTAGTCCTCCCAAACCTGCTGCATAGAACTGGGTGCTCTGTTTTCTAAACTACATTTTAACTTCACATTCAACTTCTGCATCATCAAAATGTCTCCCACGAAGGTGGGTTTTCAGTGGACCAAAACAAAAAGGTGAAAATGGCTAGGTGCTAAGTTTGGGCTGTAAGGTGGATACTCCAGAAGTTCCCACTCTAGATGGTTGATTTTCTCCTCAGTTAACTGAGCCTGAGCTGTATGTGGTCTGGCAGTGTCATGGAGGAGCAGTACTCCTCTAGTCAACAGGCCTGGAAGTTGTCTTCAAACTGCATCCAGAAATTGGTTAAAAGCACTCCTTGAAAATCCCAGAACACTGTCAGCATAACCTTCCCTGGTGATGTTTTAATTGGGCTGCTAGTGATGATTCGTCCCCAGTAATAATCCTGTTCAGCATGTCTTCTCCTTCATCTGCGTATCAGCATAAATGCTGCAAGGATAGGCCTAATCATATCATTTTGTGTTGGTTCGCCAGTCCCTAACTAACAAAGGACTGGAATGGAACAAAGCCAGAAAGAAAACTGCGGACAGAGAAGTCTGGCGATTTCTCTAGCAAACCTCTACAGCCCAAGGTAGAAGTAAGTAAGGTTGCTTACAAAGTCTTACAGATGAATAACAATCATTAATTGACCTCTTTGATGACTCTATCATGACCAGAAAGACTGCATTATTGTCAGGTACTGTGTATGTTACATAAATATATATGCGTGTGTGTGTATATATACTGTGTCATGATCCTTGCAGGGGTGGAGGTCACATGACATGAGACTGACTACCAAACACAACATATCACAGCATACTCACAAAGTGTGAAGTGCATGGGGTTGTGGACACACTTGGTATCCCCTGGCTCATAAACCAGGACAACTCTATAATGTGGTGATGCTAAATAGGGGTAAGGAACCCATTTTTTCAGGTGGTATGCAGAACCAGCACCATTTTAAGGCTGTTTCTGAGATTGATGATATTCTATTCATTTCATGGGCACTAGTTTTGATAATTTTGACTAACAAGGAAGAATGTGAGAGGGTAAGTTAATTGTTGATATCTTGATGCCTAAAATAATTAGTACAGGAAGGATGTGGGGGGGGGGGGGGTGTCAGCAGGAACAGAGTTTTTGTCCTAGAAACTAGTTGAACAAGCACAACTTTGTAAAGGTAAAAGGTCAAGTCGGGAGATGTGAACCAGTTATAAACCATAAGCTCTGCCACCAGTATGGACAGCTGATAAGAATTGTCCGCCTGTGTCGCGGTCCACACGTAACTCTGTGGCTACAACGACGTTCCTCCATTTACCCCAGAGTATCAACTCTGGTACACATTTCTTAGATGCTGGGTGAACCCCAGGAGCCGCCCGGTTTCGAACATCGACCGTGGCTGCAGTGAGTCGCAGCTGGATTTGTAAGCAAGATTCTTATCGACTGCGCTAACGCGGTCCCACAAATTTGTAAATGGGGGTGGGGGGGGGGGGTTAATAAGTTCCTCTCATGTGAACAGAGAACCAAGGGCTTGAGCTTCTATTAGATGTATATGTGTGTTTAGCCATTACAGGGGACTGAATCAGGTCAGTGGCAGGACAAAATCACAAACACTGAGGCAGTGGAAAGAGCAGGTACTACAACAGTCTTCTCAATGCTCAGTCTACAAAGGCTCAGGTGGCTGGGTCACACCTGGAGAATGGAGGATGGCAGAGTCCCTAATGACATCCCTTATGGTGAAATAAAGACAGGTAGAAGATGTCGAGGCTGACCTCTACTACGTTATAAAGATGTCTGCAAGTGAGACATGAATGATACAGATACTGAGGTGGACTTATTGGAACAAAATGCCATGAACCGTGTTGTGTGGATAGGGCATATCAGGAAGGGTATGAGAGTGAAGAAAGGTATTTGTAGCTTGTGGGAAATCTGATAACACTTGTTGGCAGATTCAGTATTAGTGATGATTTATCATCACCATCACCGTCTTGTGAAATATGATCAAATTTATACTGCCTGTTACCAGCTTTTTATTAACAAGTAAGAATTTCAAAAAGAAGAAAAAAGGCCCTAGGTAAGAGTTGTAGCACAGATACAGTCATCATCATTTTCATGTGCCCTGCCAACTGGTGTAGGTGCTCTTGCGTCTCCACAGATCACAATCCCTGGTTGCCTGGAACAGCTCTCTTGATATCCCTCCACGCTACTGTTTCAGCCCATCCAGCATCACCTATATTGGTCTGCCTCTACCCCTTTTTCCACTGATTTTTCCAGTTGTCACGATGTTCTCCAATGTCTCTCTCCTCATTCTGTTTCTAAAGAACAGTGGTTGTCTCTTGTTTATCGTTGTATATAAAGATATACTATTTATTAGCTTCTTTAAAGCAATTGTAGTTAGTTACTCTGGCTATCCAAGGTATTTGTAACATTCGTCTCAAAAACCACATCTCTGTTGCTTTAAAATGCTTCTTAATTACAGTCAAAGTTAATTGAAAATAGTTTTAGCAGTGGTCCCGTGTTTATACTTATTTTGATGTGATATTCCAGAACAGAACTAAATAGTTAGCAGGAAAAGAACTATGCTACTTTATGTTATAGTTATTCTTTATAGACTGTCCTCAGTGTCCTGTTGTGAGATACATTGTTGTTTCTGTAGGCATCAAGTGGTTAGGCGAGGAGCATGAGATGTCAATATCGCAATATTCTATACAGTTACAGTAAAAATGCGCAACCAGTCAACTGACGCGCAACCAGTCAACTGACGCGCAACCAGTCAACTGACGCGCAACCAGTCAACTGACGCGCAACCAGTCAACTGACGCGGTGTTCACATCCAGCCCAATAATATATTTAAAAACCCACAATGATGATTGTATGGAGTATAACGTAAAAATCCTATTTAATAATATAACATTTATAAAAACATAATAATCAACTCAACAGACTATATTCCAATTGTAATGCTACCGTAACAGTAACAAAATTAACAGGATATTAATATTATTACTATAAATATTACTGAGTACAAATATATGAGTAGAAACTGAATAGTATGTACA